CTACTACCTTCCTCTAACTCGATCCCACCCGACCCCTACCCATCCTACCCTACTTACCCCACCTACACCCCACCTCGTACCTCTTCCTTACTCCGACCCCATCCTTTTACCCCTACCATCCACCTGCCCCTACCTCAACCCCATCCCCCCACCTACCTTAACCCCCTAGCCCTTACCACCCCTAACCAACCCCCTTACCCTACCCCTTTACCCCATACCACATGCCCCTACCTCGACCCCGACCCCACCCCTAACAGGTAGGGGTTACGAGGGGAATATGGGCAGAGGGTAAGGTCGTGGTTAGAGTAGGGGTAAGGAAGAGGTAGGGGTTAAGGTTGTGGGGGTAGGGTAGGGTGGGGTAGGGGTTATGGTACCTCCACATATTATATTATGTACTTGTGTTCATGAATGTTTATGTGTCTATATATGTATAGAGTTATTTTGGACATTTTAATGTTAAAGGGGTGTTTTAAATCTTTTGAAGTAAACATGTTCTTATTACAACACTGCTTAATTATGCGCCGCTTATTAATGCGAGTTTTAATAAACACCGTTTAGTAACCCGTGAAGTAAACGTGTTCTAAAAGCTGTCAGCTATCAATGAGCCAGTGATAAAACTTAATTGAATCTCGGATTTTAGTATGATGATATTATCTAAGGACGCCATAGGTGAACCGAATATTTCTTGAATAATTTCACCAGGAAGACCCTCTGATGGTGTTGTCCGCGTGGGGGTTCCGGTCAGGACGTAGTGACAGGAATGAGACATTTTTATGAAATTTGAGGGGCTTCCGAGTCAAGTTTTTTGATAAAAATTGGTGATCGTGTTCATCCTAAAGTGTAGGTTATGTCCACCGAATTTCAGATTAAAATTAAATCAGAAGTTGGTTAAATAAGTTATTGGAAAAAGCTGCATTTTTAGGCCGAAAAAATTATGCATTTTTTAAAAAATTATTTAACTAACTTCCCGATTGAATTTCAATCTAAAATTTGGTGGACATATCTACATTACATGGGAACATGCTCACCAAATTTTATCAACAAATTCGACCGGGAAATAGCTCAAATGAAATAAGCCTAAAATTGCAACTTTTAGACCTACTTTACATGAACATTTTTAGAAGGCATGTGACAAAATTTTTGCAAAGAAAATTTTAGAAATTATGCAACTAAATCGTTTGGTATGTTATTTCCCGGAAGCAATATTTTATAATTTCTTATTATTTCATATTTGTTGATAATTTGCCCATAAGTCATTATGTTTAGCTGCATGTGTTATATATGATATGCATTTTCATTTTTACATTACTTTGAGCATTTCTATCAATAGTTTGTATGTTGTAGGATTACACATGCTTCTTTAGATTACAGAACTTGAATTTACTGTTGCTTTCCAAACATGAGCTCAAGTGAATTGCGCAAAACTGTGATTCTGCAATTGGAACTTAGAACAATAGTTGATACGAGTGTTGAAACTGTTTCTAATGGCCATAAACTGCCCAAATAGAGTTCATATTTATTTAGCAAGTGGAAGAGAAAGAATTGTTTGTTAAGGGCATAATGATGGCGGTGATAGCTCGAATCTGAAGTTGGTTCCTTTCAATTGGGAAGTTAGTTAAACAATTTTTTTTGAAAATTTGCACAATTTTTAGGCCTAAAAATGCATGTTTTTTCAACAAATAATTTAACTAACTTCTTGATTTAAATTTAATCTGAAATTCGGTGAACATAACCTACACTTTAGAAAGAACATGATCACCAAATGTCATCAACAAAATCAACTCGGAAGCACCTCAAATTTCATAAAAATGTCCTATTCCTGTCACGACGTCCTGACCGGAACCCCCGTGCAGACAACACCATCAGAGGGTCTTCCCAGTGGAATTTTTTGATGAAATGTTTTTGAGCATGTTCCTCATCAAGTCTAGTCTATTCATACAAATTTTGTGCGCAAAATGCAATCGGGAAGATAGTTAAAAAAATTCTTGAAACATACTGCGTTTTATATATGTACAAAATGTGCTGTAAGAGAAGCGCCGCCACTTCAAGTGGCGGCTTTTGTACTGTAAGAGAAGAGCCGCCACTTGAAGTGGCGGCTTTTCTTAACCACGGTTAACCCAACAGTATTTTGAGAATTATTTTTAAGCCAACAATATTTTGGGAATTATTTATTTAATTAGCATTATTTCGGGAAAAAACTCTTTCTTTTTTGCATTGTACTATTTCATGTTTGTCAATAAAATTCCTTTGTTTAAAAAAAGGAAAATCGCATATATGGTCCCTCAGTTATCCACGAAATTAAAATCTGAGACCTGTATTTCTGAGATTGTAAATGTCACCCCTCAATTGTCTAAAATGCTGTAAATGTGGTCCTTTTGAGGGTGTGAAATATACAATGTGGACGAGAGTACATTTCACTACTTAAAGGACCACATTTACAACATTTTGGACAATTGAGGAGTGACATTTACTATCTCAGAAATACAGGTCTGAGATTTTAATTTCGTGGATAACTGAGGGACCATATATGAGGGACCACATTTACCACATATGGTCCCTCAGTTATCCACGAAATTAAAATCTCAGACCTGTATTTCTGAGATTGTAAATGTCACCCCTCAATTGTCCAAAATGTTGTAAATGTGGTCCTTTTGAGGGGTGAAATATACAATGTGGGTGAGAGTACATTTCACTACTTAAAGGACCACATTTACAACATTTTGGACAATTGAGGAGTGACATTTACAATCTCAGAAATACAGGTCTGAGATTTTAATTTCGTGGATAACTGAGGGACCATATATGCGATTCCCCCCCCCAAAAAAAAAAACGGTCGGAGGGAGTATATAACAAAAAAAATGTTCATGTTGGAAGAAATCATATATAAATAAGCAAAATGTTATTCTATCCATTACTTCGTATGAACTATAAAATATATACAGAGTATATGATAAGTGTATTAGTGAACTCATAGAGAACCTAGAGCACTAACTCATTAGCGAAAATCCCATTATAGTGGACCAACCACTAAATAAGCCTACAAATATTAAAATATTTTATATTTGATTTTTTTTTTATTTTATGTTTAAATATTTCTATGTATATTGTCTGTATATGTAAAACATTGTAATATAATTATACCATCACGGGTCGGGTCTAAAACGGGCCGGAACTTAAAAATCCATATCCGACCCATTTTCTTTATCATGTAACGGGTTCGGATCTGGATCCGGGAAACGGTTCTAAGTTTAGACCCAATACCCTCAAATAAAGTGCCAGATTCGGATCGGGTCCGGGTCTAGACCCGACCCATTGACAGGCCTATATGCACCATATTCTTAAACATTTTAAAATTTTCAGATATATGAATTTGAATTCATAGGCACAATAAATAATAATAATAATAATGACATTGCCTATTTAAGCAGAAGTAGAGATATTACTAGAGAGTAGTTGATATTATTGTTGTCGTGAGTTTGGTGAGCTATCACAATATTCTTTTCTATTTGAAATATTGGTATGAGTGGAGAACAAGGGTAATACAATAGTAGTACAATAGTTATATTGAAACGGGTTATGCTTTTAAGGAGCTAATTTATTAAACCTAACGACGATTAAACAATTAACGAATGTGTAAGGCATAATATTTTTAAGCAATATAAATAGTATCGTTGTTCTAAAACTCGCTAGGCGCTAGTCGGACGGTTGAGGGGCACCTAGCGTCTAGGCGGCCGACTAGGTCAATTTTTTGGCCAACTAGGAAGGCTTTTTGGCCGATTAGGCCTCTACAGTTAGGGCCGACTAGACCGATTAATCGGTCCGACTAGGCCGATTTTTAGAATAGTGAAATCGTATTGAGTAGCTAGACATTTCGCTTCAGTGGTACCACTCCATTAGGATTAAGTTTAGTGATGTTTTTTTATAATAAAATACATTTTATCCTTAAAGTACATGATTTTTTCAGAATTTTCTGAAAAGTTCGTAAACAGGAGTATTATACGTCAACTATACGTTTGAGTGTATTATACGTGAATAATACGCGAATAAACTAATAGAGTAATTCTACGCATTCCAATACATAAGGGAAATCTTGGTGCAAAAGTACCAATCATCCTGCTGTATTGATTATTCTCTCACCAATTAGCTTTACACATGTCAATATCAATTTCTAACTTATGGAAAGGGATTGTCATTTATACTCTCAAGCTTACGGTTACGCTGCAGAATTTTTATACTCGATCTACATTGAGCTTATTTTTTACTCTCACTCGGTTTATGTGTACCCCCGGGTCGGCGAGGCCATCGGACTATTTACAAAAGAGATATTTTTCAATTTTCCAGAAAAAAGGAAAACAGAAAAATGTGTTTACCGAAAAAATTTGTTGGAAAACTAGAAAAAGAAAAACAGGAATATGTGTTTACCATATCATTTTCCAAAACAAAAAATGATATGTGTCTCTGTTTTCCTTAATGAATTGAAGAAATGAGTTTTTACTAATTTTCAAAGTTTGAAATGTGCGAACACTGTAGTGTTGCTACAATGAATTTGCATACTTACGCCTAGTGGTGGACTCGATCCTGCTCCAATCTCGATTTCGGTCTGGACGACAACAGGGCGGTCCCGAACCAGTCCGGTCGATGACTCGACTGTCTCTGTCCGGTTTGACGACTCCGGAGTCCCTGTCCTGGCACATTCCCTATTTTTAAATCGTTTTTTCAAAGTGAAGAGATTCAAAAAAATTGTTGAGTTGCCAATTGACAAGAAAAAAGAAAAGAATTAGTCAAACTAGTCGTTGGGACTGATTGAGATTGAGTTGTTTCAGTCCCAACATTTTATACCTGAGACCGGGTTCGGTTCCAGATGGGGGCAATACTTTCGATAGTAAAACCGTGTGAAAATTTTGGTGAAGATGTTTTCATATTTGAAAATTGAAAACTGAGAAATGAAAATAGAATATTTAAGATCGAAAAATTGAAAAATTAAAACAGAAACCAAAGAACAGAAATTCTATCCAAAAAAAAAACGAAGAACAGAAAAGAGAAACGAAAATTGAAAAATCTCTCTTAGTAAGCGCACTCTTATTTCTGATCCCATTTGAGTCGTAGTCGTCCGGGACTACCGGCCCTATTCTTACCAACGGCAAAAACCCAGTTGGTCTCCCTGAAAAACTTCACTAGGGTTTAGAGTTCATCTAGAGTTCGAGGCCTGAACAGCTGCCGATCTTGCGGTTCCGAGACGTGAAACTTTGAATGGTGAGATCTTCTTTTTTAAAACGTTGTACACCTATCTAATTTGTACTGATTCATCCTACTACGCACCTCTAAGTCTATTTTCTCATCCTACTTATCTGTACACAGTTCTTCATTTCCCTCTTTACCTTCTTGTTTTGTTTTTCAGCCTACTGATTCTGCTTCGCCGGTGGAAATGCACAATTTGTGCTGATTTTTCATTTTTACACCTAGCTTGCACTAGCAGCTTAATCCTTGACTCCTAATGTTGCACTGCGAAAATATGTCGATGTATCTGATCGGGGAGGGGGTGGGGGGACGCAATGAACTAAACGCTGCTATGTTCTTGAACCTGAATTTGATGATTTTGATGCTACGTCTAAAAAGACTATTGTTCCCGCTGGAGTTTGTTGTATGTTAGAGACTTATAGTTTTCAATAGCAGAGAGCAGCTCATTTGTTTTTCTTTTTATAAACAAAATCTATGTCAATCATTCACAATTAACATTGGCTTTTGAGGATAGATTTTCTGCATATGTCAGCTACAGCATAGTCTGTTTTTAGCATTAAATGCTTGAATATTGTTTTGGGACAAGTGTTTATTTAAGATATTGTATGTGTATGATTTGGAACACAGCTTGGTAAGTCACTAATCGTGGGATCTCTTGCTGTCTTACATTGCAGTAGAGCCTTCTCGATGCAACGGCAGAACATGCCATTCTATGGGGAGTCAATCTGCATGAGAGTAAACTACTCTTTTGTGAAAAATGTTCCTCGTAAAAAGAGATCAAAAAGGGGATATATAAACAAGAAAGGTACAATTATTTGCCTCATGTTACAGATTATTTTTATTCTTAATCGATTTTGTTAAGGTGATATTTGGTGTTTTATTGTCCTTGTGTCATTCGATTTTTCTCTCTTGTTTAATTATTAATTTATTTTAGGAAAATGGGTCAAATAGGCCCTTGCACAATTGTAATTCCATCAGGTAGACCCATGTATTAAAAAAAAAATCGCATAAACATGTCTAATACAAAAAATAATCATATTAACCCATTTACCGGAGGAAACCCTTTTTAGCCGGTAATTGTGATTTTTTCCTTTTCTATTTTTTCTTTACTTTTTTCTTTTCTCTCTCCTCCTTCTATACAGTTCGTCCATCTCCCACACCAAGGGAATCAACCTTAGCTTGCAAATGACAGTTCCAAGAGTGAGCAAACTACAGTTGATATTTGACAGCCTTCCTTTAGCTTTTGACCAACAGATAATGCCTGAGATGACCGCTCACTTCCAGCAAGATCAACAAAGTTCTGCATTTAGTTATTCGGAGTCTGGGGGTTAGGAAGGGGGAACATAAAAAGTTGCCCATGGGAAATCGATAGTTTCGTAGCAGAGTAGCAGTGAAGGTTGTTTTTTGTCATTCCCTATAAACTCACGAGCAGAGCTTTCAATTGTATAAGGAACAACAATTCATTAGTTCAGAATAAAAACAATAGGAGTTCAAAAAAAATAAAAATTATAACTAGTAAAGAAAGGAAAGGCCGGATGCATTCATACCAGTTTAAGAATTTGATGGGATCTGGAGCTTGTTTCATTCAGGTGAGTCTCCCCAATTTGTCTTTGAGCTGTGAGAATCACAAGAACATGTAAAAGAAATAGAAATGTATAAATTTTGACCATTGCTCCGTATTATTAATATACGAAGTATAATACATACCTTCACATATGGATAGGAGCTCCTTGAGACAAGCTATTATGGACAATAGTGTGACTTCTAATACTTTTAATGCAACATCATCTCTCGACTGGGAACGGACTGCACTTGTCATTCGTTTCAGGCGATAGCAGCGACGAACACAGGCAGAAAGTTTCAGAGACGACCAACACTCCGCTGCAACTGTCCACATCGTTTTCTGAGATCATCCGTAGACCTCTGACTGAGTCTCCTCCCTTGAGTTCGCATATGCCCGGCGAGTTTTCTTCGCCATTTAGATAGTTTCTGATGATCACTAAAATCACTTATTCCTCCGGTGTACCTCTTCCTCTTGATGGCGATGAAGTATCCTCATACAGTTAGACCAACCCCTCACCTTTACTGCACACCGTACCAGCAGCACAAGAAAATGGATTTCTGGCAATTTCCGACGATATATATGGCTGTTCTTCGGGCTAAATGCTAAGTTGCTAACATTGAGGCTTGAGAATGCTCCTCCAGTGACTAAGGTTCACCTGCAATGAACCCAATCTGAAGAGACCTTCATCTTCCAGTGAAGATAATGTAGGAACATGCTAGGAAGATCGATGCAAAAGAAAAGAATAAAAAAAGATAAAAGAAAAAAGAACGAAAGAAAATATGAAGAGAATGAAAGAGAAAAAAAGGAACAGAAAAGGGTAAAGAGAAAAAGGAAAAATAAAAGAATATTTGTTGGGTTGGAGACCTGAGCCGGAGATGGATTGTTACCTACCAACATCAAGTAATCACCAAATGACCCCTTAAAACCGGTCATCTTCCTGTAAATTGGCTTATGTGATTGTTATTTTAGTGTACAAAACTACAAATGGTTATGTGATGCTTATTTTAGTACATGGGTTTAAGTGATGTATTGATAATTGTAGAAGGGTCTATTTGACACTTTTCTCTTTATTTTATCTACTCTGCTCAATTCCTTTAAAAAGATGAACAGGTTTTGCATCACATTCCTTTGACTTCACGTTCATTTTTATATACTCTGCTCAATTACTTTAAAAAGCGGAATAAGATTTGTACAAGTTATTTAACATCTCGAATGTTGTGGATTTTAAAATATTGAGATTGTAGATAAATGTTTTATTTATAATGAACAATACGTTAATATAAGGGGACACTGAAATGCTTAAGCTATAGATCAAATAAAATAAAGGTAATGGCACTCCAGATTTACTTGTAAACGTCTCTGGCCCTCTCTACCTTCGCATGAGTTAACCCTAATTGTCCGACATTCCTCCTTGGCATATTATGTTCGGATCGGTTGGGCCATCATCTACTACTCAATAAATGGGCCACCTCCATGACCCGCTTTCAGATTAAACCAAGCTCAACACAACGGCTCTCCAGCGCCTCACCTTTGGCACAAGCATTTTTGTATTTCTTTCTGGCATCTTTGACGTTTCTTTTTGTGTGTCCCCTATTATGATATTTTTAATAAAATCGTTGGTTTTAAAAAAAAAAAAAGGTTTTTGTGTTACCCATTTCATTTCAGCAATAAGTATGCGACCTTGATTCCATGCCCCCCCCCCACTTGTAGTTCTTATTGCTATAGTGTCTTCAGCTTAAAGGATGATTGTTTATAATTTAACACAGAGTATAGCAAGACGTGCCACTGTTTTCCTTTTTGCCTGCATTTTATTTTTGTCGTTTCATCATCTGTTCATTTCAGTAATGGTTCTGATCTATAAACTATTTCTTTGTAGGATGGCCGCGTGATGGGAGTGTGGTGAAACTAAAGACCCATTTACTACATGTTAAAACAAAAAAAACACGCACATGTAAAAAGCAAATTTGCATGGATTTTGCTGAAACGAGTGATGATGAAGTTATCCCACATAATTCAATGCAATGTCGTGGACGGTCCAGGAGAAGATACGAAAGCAATGGCCTTGGAAAGTTAGACTCAGGTGCCTTTGAGTGCTATATGAGGTATTTGTGGTTTATGATTTTTTTTTTAATTCGAAGAAGCAGACTGCATTGTTATTCCTTTCATGGTTTGTCCTAATTTCTTTTTATGAAGGAAAATATGGATGAAGTTTTCTGAAGAGAGGAAAAGTTTGTTTACATGCCTTGACTCCTTATGGTATCACTTATACACAGATAGAACTACTAAAGCTAAGGTCTTGGATTGGATCAAGAAGAAAGAGATCTTCACCAGAAAATATGTCATTGTTCCTATCATTCAGTGGTATATTTTCCAAGACTTAGCTGTTAAAAGATGTTGTGCTTAGTTACACCTTGTAGTGCATTGTAATAAGGCTTGAGGCTCCATGTAAGAGGCCTCAAGTTCAAAATCTCCCCCCCCCCCCCCCCCCCCGGTTAGGTCCGTTTGGGTGGAGGACTGAAGGCTGTGTCTATCTTAAATAAATGTAATATTTCTTAAAAGTTGTAGGAATAACATACCAGGGGAACTTGTAAAATTCAAGGATATGAACTAAGGACATGTTTACTTCACGGGTTACTAAACGGTGCTTACTAAGACCCACGTTAATAAGCGGTGCATAAAATAAGCGGCGCATAAAATAAGCAACATTGTAAGATCTTGTTTACTTCAAAAGGTTTAAAACATCGTTTAGCATTAAAATGTCCAAAATAACCCTATACATATATAGACACACAAACATTCATGAACACAAGTATTATGTGTACCCATACCCCAACCCCTTACCCCCACCCTATACCCCTTAGGCCCTTACCACCCTACCCCTACCCCCTACCACATCAGTCCCACCCCGACCCCACCGTAACCTACCACACTCCTACCCTACCTTACCTTGACCCCACCATTACCCCGTCCTCGACCTCACCCCTACCCCCAGACCCTTACCACCCCACCCACTTACCCCCCTAACCCCCTGCCATACACCTTATCCTACCATAGTCCTACCCATACCCTACCTTACCCCGACCCCAGGCCCCTACCCTACCTTACCCCAACCCCCACCCCAACCTACCCGCAATCCCCACCCTTACGACTAACCACGACCCAACCCCACTCAATACACCACTTGCCCCTACCTCGGCCCCACCCCGATCTCAACCCCAACCCCACCCTTACCACCGGGTGGAATCGGGGTGGTGCCAATGTGGTAGTGGTAGGGTGTTGGGGTAGGGTGGTAAAGGGCCTGGGGGTAAGGGTAGGGTTGGGGTAAGGTAGGGTGGGGTAGGGCAGGGTGGGGTCGGGGTGGGCCTGGGGTAGAGTGGTAAGGGCCTAGGGTAGGGGGGCACGGTAGGGTCAGGGTTAGGGCCAATGTGGTATGGTGGTAAGAGGCCTAGGGGTTGGGGTTGGGTAAGGTAGGTAGGGTAGGGTGGGGTGGGGCAATGTGGTAAGGGGTTGGGGTAGGAGGGGCCCTAGGGGGTAGGGTTGGGGTAGGTGGTAAGGGCCTAGGGTTTGGGGGTGGGTAAGGGGTTGGGGAGGGTTTGGGTAGGGGGTTGGGTCGGGGTAAGGTAGGGTAGTTGTAGGGTAAGATAGGAGCGGGGTCTGGTAGGGCTGATGTGGTGGGGGGTAGGGGGTTGTGGTAAGGGGGCTAGGTTGGGGTGAGGTGGTGGGGTTGGGGTTAGGGTAAGGTAGGGGTAGGGGTGGGGTCGGGTGGGGTATGGTATGGATCGAGGCGGGGCCGAGGTGGGGGTGGGGTAGGGTCGTTGTAGAGAAAAGAGGTACGCGGGGTGGGGTAACGGTCGAGTAGGGGTAAGGTCGAGGATGGATGGAGGTAGTGGGTAGGGTAGGGTCGGGGTGTTAGGGTAGGGCGGGTAGGGGGGTAACAATAAGGGTAAGGGCAAGGGGTAAATTCGGAAACTGAAAAAGCTTAAAGTGCTGCTTAATTAATACATGGGGGTGGTATGCTTAGTAAGCGGCACTTTAAGCACCTATTTCGGTTAGTAAGCGGCTTTGTAAGCAGCGTGCGTGTTTACTTCACCTGTCTTACTAACCTAACTAACTGTGACTTTAGCAGCGAAGTAAACGCCTCCTAAGTCTTTCCAAGCCTTCACCTCAAAATTTTCTATCTAAAGGGTCAATTTGGAACTTGAAAAGCCTGGGAAAGAGAAAAAAATAAGGAATGTAGAGCATAAAATGGGAACAAAAGAAGATTTAAATTTCAAAGTCATTTTTTCCATGTTTGTTCAAACTCGTTTAGTTTATATAGTGCAGTTATATAAAGACTAAGAAATGTAATTCAATTTTAAATAATTATGACCGTATTTGGTTTTCCTTCATATTCCCCTAGTTAAAACCAAGCGTAATAAACTTTTTTTCTTAAGCATTTTATCTCTCTTTCTTTGAAACTTTTCGAGTTCGAAACATGACCTCTAAAAATGGTATAAAAACCAGCAAGATCCTGCTATGACACTAGCACCTAAGCTAAGTGGGATTGGGTGTAATATAAGTGGAATTAGTCGGGCCTAAGTGGAAAAGGACTTGGGTGTCCAAGGAGTGTCTAGCATATAAGCAGAGATAGTTAAACTTGTGACTTTACAGAAATGATCTATAGTTAAGAGATATTTTCATACTACTTCCGATTTGCCCCTTGTATTGATATCAGTCAGGTTGAAAAATAGTAATATGGGATAAATATTCGTTAGCATTGGAGGTATCTTCATTCTTTGAGTAAGATAAATATAACCAATACAGTAGAGATGAAATTAAAGTGAAATTAAACTAAATGGAGGTACTGTTTTTAGAAGACAAATCAATGGTTAGAATTATATGAAAATAATCAATAATTGGGATTATTTGTTGTCAAAAACCTTCCAAATTAACAGTCTATACCACATTAACAGGTCAGAACAGTTAGGGACTATTTTAGAAGACAAATCACTAGTTGTGATTATACAAAAATAATTGATAGTTAGGACCACTAAAAGCAGAACTGTCATAATTGGGATTCTTTCTGTCAAATTTTCTTTCCTCTAGCATTTTCTTTGATCCAAAACATTTTAACACACCCTTTAAGAGAGGAATATTTCATAATATATGCTGATTTGTGAGATGTTATCAGGGGTCATTGGTGTCTATTGATCATGTGCAACATGGGCAAAACTTTTCAATCTGAAACTCCTTGCCTATTACTGCTAGACTCCTTGCAAGATGCACACGCCAAACAACTAGAATCTGGAATAAGAAAGTAGTAATTCCCCTCTTCACTTGAAAAAGATTCACCTTTGTACTAAAAAATAGTACACTAAACGTCTATTTATGCTCTTACTTTGCAGATTTGTTTTCGATCTTTATAGCACAGGGGAGAGAACAGAGACAAAGCAGATGATAAAAAAGATCCCTTTTCGAGTTCCCAAGGTTTAGTACTTTCCACTTGCGGTTTCCCTGGATTGAGTGTTTTTTGTTTAGTGTGAACCAGTGAACTTTTTGTTCAATGTGATGAACTGTTAAGTTCAAGCGGTGCACTTGTGATGGCAGAAAATATTGATTTATTTACCAAATACCACCTCATTTTCAAATCTGCTCTATTGTTGGCCTGTTTTGAGGCATAATCTCAAATCTGACGCACTAGATTCATTCTCATGTTTCATGGAAAGAGTTTTTTACTTGAGCGTAAAGAATGGTTCATGCATGAGCAATATGTATCTACTAATTAATATTATCTATCAGAGCGGAAAACTTAATATGTAGATGCTTGTGTGTTCTCACTTGAAAATTAACGCTTCCAGGTCCCGCAACAAAGAAACAATGATGAGTGTGGGTACTATGTTTTATACTTCATTGATCGTTTCTTAGGACTTGCACCAGAAGATTTTAGTTTGTCTGAGGGCTACCCTTACTATGTGAGTCACTCTCATGAACCATCTTTACATTACTATGGTTCTTTATAATACTTTATGAAGTTATAAACTTTATTGAAGTGCTACCTCTGTTCTAAAAAAAGTCATATTTCATCAAGTAATATTTTGTATTGTATTGAGGTACAATTCATGTAAATCATCTGTCCTCATATTATTGATTACCTGTGTTTGTTAAATAGGATACTCATTTAGTACTTTGTTCTAAATTGCATTAGATTTAATGGAAATAAGCTTGTTGCGTTGATATATGATTCTTTTTTGGGACAAAAAAAGGTTAGGAGCATGACTCGTTTTTTGGCACTAGAGTACTGTTCACTTATCATTGCTGTGAAGCAAATACCATAAAATGGGACTTCATTCAAAAAATGCGAAAGATAAAGACAAGTAGATATACAGTGCAAAATTTGGTCATCATCAAACATAAAATACACTGATGAGTTACCAGATAGTAAAAACATTTAGATTTATTACTCCGTGTTATTTATAACAGAAGGAAAGGTAGGGATGAGTGTAGATGCTTGACAGGAAAATTAGAAAATTAATTTGTAATATGGGCATTTGTTTCTGCAAAGGAAGAAGAAAAATGATTAGCTCATTAGAAAGATTCAGGGGACTAAGGGTCGCTCTGGATGGAAGCCTTTTGACAAGAAAAGAAGACTTCGGAGGGGCTACTTTACATTTGTGATAACTGAAAATGTTTTTTAAAACAATTATAAAGTGTGGTTGAAATGTTATGTGATCACCTATTATATTAGCTGTTCGCTTAATATACATGAAGACATTTATTTAGCCCTTCAATATCCTTCTCCCCAGGAATTCAAAGACCCTAATTTTTTAAAATTTGTTGATTATTTCATTTCCTAATAATCCTAGGATTAGTACAAAGCAAACATATCCAACTGCATCATAAAAGCTCATTCAGTAATTCTTTGGCTGAACTAGTTTGGATTATGAATATACATATTGTATAGATGAAGGAAGACTGGTTTACCCCCAAGGAGTTGGACGTCTTTTGCAAAGAACTTGTATCTTCATCCATGGATTCTTCTGAATGTGATGATTCTTCTTCGGATTCTGATGTTATTGAATTGGTAGGTTGTTGTATATCTTAAGAGTAGTTGTTCTCTAGATTCAGATTATTCTTTAGCTTTATATAGTCCAGTATTTTACTTTACCTTATTGGGTAGGTAATAATAATGATGATGATGGTTATGATAATATTTTTAAATAATATTAAACTATAGTTAAAGCTTTTTTGGGTCATATTAGGGTGCTCATCGAACCTCTGTTGCTGCAATCACAATTTTCGAACATGAAACCTTGATTGAGTTTGAAGAATTAAACTCCCTACTTGGATGAGTTGGACCAACCGTTGATGGCGTGCTAGGGGGTTTTGGTTTAGGTTTATAGCCAGGAGCCCAGGATTATTTTCGTGTCTTTGCAAGGGAATGTAAGATTATTAAAATTTGTAATTACCTAATGTGTTTTGTTTTTTGCCAACTCTCTAATGGGTGTTATGTCCAATGGGTGTTTGGCTTAGGTTTGTAGAACTGTGTAATCTCCTTGCAAGTGAATGTATGATTATTAAAATTTATAACTATTTAATGCATTTAATTAAATTTTATGGGAATGTAGTATGGGCTTAATCTTTGTAGGTTAATATCCTTGTTAGTTAAATACGGTACGGGAATTAAACGAGGTTTAATACGTACGCGTTTTATTCGGTAACATGAATGAAAAAAACGGTCAAAAATTCGTTGAAAAAAAAGTTGACTTTTAAAAAACGTGTAAATACGTATACATGTATAATACGTTGTCTATTACAAAAATTCGGACGAAAAATACGAGTATTATTTTGAACATTTAAATGATATATTTCATAAAATAACATATAAAGTAAAAAAGAAATAGAAGTATACACATATTCAAGTAGCAAATCTCATTACTACACACAAGAATAGTTCGTAATTGCATAAGTCAAAGACAAAAATAAAAACAGTAATTAAGTCCAAGACATAATTTTGAAAAATAATGTCAAAAAAAATCATTATCTTTATATGATTATCAAATAACACTCAAGTTAAATTCATCATTTTCATTAAGATGACAGATGACATATGACAAAAGTTGTGTGATTGCTACACTTATTATTGTTTGTGTAAAAGTTTATGCTAAAAAAAACGGTAGGTTTAGAAAAATCTTAATTTTGATATGCTAGCTTGAAAAAACATCAGAAATCTTGTAGTATATTACTACGTAAGTTTTAGTATTTCAGGATGCTAGCTTTAGCCATCATGCAATTAATTTTAGTATTTAATAATTGCACTGTAACAATAAAAAAAACACGAGATCATGGGGAGGACGTTTTCATTTTTACTTTTACACTATTGTTGATCTTCTATGCATTTAGTGCGTTCATTCAATTGGTCAATTCATGTTTATGTTTTTTGTAAAATACGGGAAAAATACGTTTTATACGGGAATTAGGAGTTTTTTTTCCTTTTTAAACGGACCGACATTTTCCCCATTTTTAAACGTGTTTTTTTGGTCAAAAAACGGTACGTGTTTAAAACGCGTTTAAAATGGAAAAAAGCTAACTAGGGTTAATATTATGCTTAATCTTTGTAGGTTAATATTTTCTCCTTGCTTAGTTGAATATTATGCTTCGGAGTTTGGACTATGTAGGTTAATTTAGTGATGGACCGGGACCAGTCAGACCTGCCCGGCAACCGGGCCCTGGACCGGTCTGGTTAGGCCCGAACCGGGTGTTACTGAGCGGGCCCAAGTCATGGAAAATAAAAACCGGCCCGGCCGAGTTGGGCCTTTTTTTTTCAATTTTTTTTGTTTTTCCTGGGTTGGGTTGGGTGTTTGGGGGGGGGGGGTTGAGGGTGGGGGTGGGGGGGTCGGGTATTAATTAGAAAAGCAAAACAAAAAAAATTGGCCCGGCCCGGCCCGAGACCGCACCCGGTGGAATCCCGGGCCGGTTCTGGAGCTCCCCCCCCCCCAAAAGTCCGGTTTAAACAGTGCCGGAGCCCGGCCCAGAACCGGTACATCCCCGTTAAATTGGAAGCAACTTTTTTTTTATCAATAACTCGTTTCTATGACTACCATCAAGTAAGGGTGGATCGGGTTGGATCCCAGAACGGGTCTGGATGGGACTGGAGCTTAGGATATCAGGCCCAGTGCCGGCCCGATGTGGTATCGGGACCGGGTCAAGTTGGGCTACCTGGGCGGGCCTCGGGTTGGGCTGTTGTTTTTAATAATTTTGTTTAAAAATTAATTGAACAAGTGTTAGACAATAAAAATTTGAATTATATTTATTTGAAATATGAACTACACTTGTGAATTGAGAATAATTTAAAATGTTAAATACATTGTCTAAAAATAAGTCGGAATCTCTGGCACCGTCAGTTGTTGTTTCCTTGATGAAGTGGCGGGTGGGGTAATGCAAACTTCTTGAGTTCTACGTCGGACCTTTAACTAATCGTGGAAGCAAATGAGCGTCTCAAGAGATTTTGCGTTCAATCTCATTCTATAATTCGTTAGGACGTTGCCAGTCGAACTAAATTCTTGTTTCAGGTGACATTTGATATCAACATTGATGCACTTGCTTAGTCATCTTCAATAAAATCGGGAACGTTCTTTCTTTGTCATTCCCACCACTGCAAAATGTCCAAGTCATTCCCTTCATGGTCATCAGGAAACGTTAGATATAAAGAAAGCTCGTTAATCGAGCTTTGTGCAACAACGGGAGTTTGATTTATTTTTTTCATAAGATTACTAAATGTAGATTTAAAAAACGAATTTCCTTTAGATGAAGAAGATGTTCGTGTCGAGGGAAGGGGTGCGTTACCATATTTTGCTTGAAACTCATTAGATAATTGATGAAATAAGTTACTAAACTTGTTCTATTGCTCTTTATGATCTATGATCAAGAAGTTAACATTTTGTACTCCTAATGTTGTTTGCTTCCACCATTTTAGACTCCTAATTTTGAGCTCCTAATTTGGTGTAATTTGGTGAGCTCCTAATTGTTAATCCCCCTTTCAGTCCCTAACTACACCAAATTAGGAGCTCAAAATCTCTAAATTTAACATTTTAGACTTCTAATCCTTACCACCACAAATGGCCTAAAACCCCATCCCCAATTACTGTTTTGACCAGGAACTGGCAGGGCAATTCCATTTCCGGGAACACTTAAAAGTCCGGCCGATTATGGACTAAACAGGTCACCAGACCAGAACTAGTCTCAATGGGAGTCCCAAAACACTCTTTCTGGATTAACACCTGACAGCCATGTATTTTTAAGTTTCGGCCATTGGCGGATGTGTTAACACAGCAAAAATAATCATATACTTTAAAGTCAAGCAACTTTCTTCCAAAAAATAAGCCAATAATAGGTTTTGAATAATGTTCAACAACATATAGATACTTTATAGCATCTCCAATGCTATAATGTGCACGGTACACATGTGACATTATTGAAAGCCACATAAATATTATCAAATAAATTATCTCTCTCCTTATTTGAATGATTTTATACAGTATTGATAAGTTTTTCCCTGCAATGTCAACAACAATATCAACATCTAAACGGTCTCATTGACATTGTGGAGAGAAACTTATCAATACTGTATAAAATCATTTAAATAAAGAGAGAATGAATTTATTTACTAATATTTATGTGGCCATCTCTTATGCCACGTGTGCACCGTGCACATTGTACCATTGGAGATAGCTCTTATAAACTTGATTACAAACATGGTCAAGTTAACAATACTTTTAGAAGCACCATAGATATATTATAACAGTACCGCTCCATGAAAGAAAATAGCTCTAGTACACTTCAATCCAAAATCATAGAAGGCCAAACACAATTAAAAACACAGGACAAAAATAACATATGGGGGGAGCTCAGATTTTGTTGAAGGCAACAATGTCACAGCTCTGCACATACTCATTGCAGGGTTCAACAGTTAGTCGCTCTTCAATGAGCGTATCAACGGAGACAAGGTCATCAACTATGGTCATCATGATCTGCAACTTTTTGATTCCATATCCCACAGCAACAAGTTTTGATGCTCCCCACAGAAGTCCTTCCATCTGAATACTCCTAACCATCTCTTCCATCTTTTTCATGTCTGTCTCATCATCCCAGGGCTTAACATCCAAAAGAACAGAAGACTTTCCACCTGTAAAGGAGAGAAATTGAACAAATGAAATTTTGTATTCATTATAGGAATATGAACATAAAAATCCACATCCCCCCGTCCCCAAACAGCATGAAAACAATGATACAAAAAAGTTGTAAACATGTATTATCTATTATCCTGTATTGAAGAAAAATGTATAACAAAGAAAGTATGCGCCTGTTTGAAAGGGTATATAAGGATATCATGTCTGAAGGTGGCCTAATGGGCAGTGCTTGACGAAATTTGGTTAGTGAATTAAATTAATTGTCGAATGGGAGTAACACATAAGATGCAAGAGTCTTGTGGTGGTTCGGCCATGTGCATAGAAGATGATGAGTTCTAAGATTAAGCTGTCGGCCAGAACCCTTGGCCCTTCCAGGGTTCCTCCCATCGACTAAGTCACTGACCCAAGTCAACGCAGTAGGACACAGCCTCAAGTCGCTGACCCAAGCCCACCACCGCCACCATTTACTTACGCTCTTCCCGTGTTTTTTAAGGTTGTGAACTGTGGATACTTTTAGTTTTAGATTTTATTTGCTTACACAGACAGCTAGACTCCATATTAATGTTAAATGTACTACACATTTATTTCTGCTACTCTTGCTGTTATTTCAAGTCTAGCTGGAGTCCATTTATATTGAACACTTATACATACTCAGGTATATGTTTTTTAATATTATCTATAATATATTATTTTATTACATGGGTATATTTAAATATTACACAAGGCACGACATGTTGCCTAGTTGTCGCCTTGTCGGCTAGACAGATGCCTAGGCGATAAGGCATCCGGTTAACCGTGCCTCGCCTAGCCACTGTGACAACCATGACTGGCACAATAATGCCTTGTCCACAATCATGATTAGTATGATAATATAATGTCTACGAGGAAAAGGAATGGTCTATGTCGTGACTCACTCTCTTTCTTCTTGGAGGATGCCTTAGTTGAGGCTGCTCTCTCTTCTGCTGCTTTCTTTTCTTCCTCCGTCTCCTCACCAAAGAGATCAATGTCATCATCATCATCAGCCTGCATATGTTCCATGTGTTAGTGACTAGTGGAACTATGAGGGTGATTAAGCTAAATAAAACATCAGCGGCAGCACCACCTTAATCCCAACTAGTTGGTGGCTTGGTGGTAAAATATACTGGTAAATGCTAACCAAGCTCTTAAGACCATGCTTAGGCATTTACGATGAAACAATGCTTTGTAAAAATTTCAGGAGATTTTCAGTTTATAGATGGTGAATTAATGTCATGCTTTGGTGATCGATGTGTTCGTAATGCTAAGTGTGATGAATAATGTTTGAGGACTTAATTATAATATGAAAATCATGAAGAATATAATCTCTCATTCACGCTTTCACATAGCCCTCAGAACTACAGTTAACAGATCTCCAAAGTTTTAAATAACTGTAATGCTATGTCTATCCTTCAAGCGATTCTAAATAAATACTATTTTATCAAATATATGGAGTATGAAAGTATTATGATCCATTTAGCAGGGAAAAGTTGAAGGGAAAAAAACAAAAAACAAAAACTGGAAATATCTAATCTTTAAATTAAAATTCAGAGTATGACCAATAAATAGTAACTTCATCTACATGATAAAGTGGAACATATTCTAAACAAAAGTTCAGGAAAGCATGAAATATAAAATTGTAAATTGAAGTAGATATACTTGCTAATTTAGCAAATATAAGAATTTTTCATCAGGAACTACCTCGGCTCCCTTGGTTGGTGCAGCTTCAACCAGAGCACTTTGACTCTCAAATCTTACTCCAATGGCTTTCCCGTGGAAGCTAAGACACAAAACATGAAAATTCAAAACAGCAATTAAAATTGGGATTCAGATTTTAAGAAAATATCAATGCGAAATTAACCAAGTAAATAAATAAGATTAATTACAGCATGAAAAGCAGTAAAACAATATACCTTGTGGCGAGTTTGCAAGATACGGCTTGGTACCATTTGCTAGCGTTTGGGTATAGATCTGCACTAGGTTCCTCCAAAACGGCAGCATATACCTTGACATCATCCTTCGTGAATTGATCTCTACGAATCGTCATTTAAACAATATGACATGAATGGAGAATTCAAAAGCGAATCATTACTAGTGTAAATCAAATAAATTAATAACTACCCAGAAATATATGATTTTGCAGCGAGAAATCCATCAAGAGACTGGATACCGGCTTCTGTGTGGAGATCTGAGAAGGTTACGGCCATCTTCTTTGAGATTTTGAGTTTACAAGACTGAGAGGTAGGGCAAACCTGAGTTTTAGATAGCGGGAAAGGGGTGACGATTGCGGGTTGAGGTTTTGTGTTAATATATACGGAGTAACAAAAACCCTAGAGGAGAGACAGACTTATTAATCGGTGCTAATTAGAGCACATTCAATATATTATGGTGAAAGAAAAGTTTACCAAAAACGTATAAGATCGTTCAAACAAATACAAAGTTATTTTATTTATTAAAATTTGGCTATTTCTTATGCCATACACACCGCTGACGTTTTTGTGTTGAAGATGCTCTTACCATTTTGAGTTATTATTATTGTCTACTATTGTTTCATTTTGTTTTAGATCTTTTTTAGTGGAAAATCGCCAAATTTATTAATTCAATACATCATGTGTCACAAGGGACTTACAATAAAATCAATATATAATACTCCCTCCGTCCCCTTTTAAATGTCCCGGAAGAGGGTGACACGAGTTTTAAGTAAAATGAGTTTGTGTGGTTGATATTAATTGATAAAGTAAGACTAAAGTAAGAATGATTTTGAGTCACACAAACTTTACCAAATAAGATATAGAACAATTAAATAGGGACATCTCGATATGATAAAATGGGACATTTAAAAGGGGACAGAGGGAGTAGTTGACAAGAGATATGTCACCCCTATATATTTGAATGGGGTATTGCACGAGAATGCTAATTGTGGACGATAAGAATGTGTGGGACCTTGAGAGAGAAAATATCTATTTAAAAAAATGTAATTTCTTTTTTATTTGCACTTTGTTTTTTTACAAAGAATATATCAAATTTTATAACTTTTTGTGATCTTTCATATGACCCCATTGTTGCTATTTAAATTTAAAAAATATATATGAAATTTTATCTCTTAATCTCTAGTAGAATACTAGAATTTTTGGTCCAAAACATTTCTTAACTAAATCGATGTGTTAGAATTAAGATCTCATACTTCAAATATATTGTTTTACATCTTTCTGTTATTTTTTTCAAAAATCAGTATGAAGTAACAAAAAAAAAAAACTCTTAATTTGTTTGTTTTTTTGCATCATAATGTTTGCCTTTTTAACTCATAATTATTCACAAAAAAGATTCAAAAAATTGATGTATAACATAAAATGAGGTTTTAATTGAAAAATGAAATGGCTGGAGGATGAATACATATCATTGAAAGTACATGGAAAAAACTGAATTGACCGGGTGAGTGAATACGTATAAACCGGTGGGGAATTTGATTTTTTGACGGCAATGGTTGTGTCATTGTGTGGAATAATGGGAATATGTTACTCTCTAAGGAACCACGTAGATGTATTTATAATAAATAAATATGAGTAATACAATTGGGCCAAGCCCACTGTTACACTTCATCAAATTGTGCGGGAGATACAACACGCAGGTTATTTTTAAGAAAATTAAATTGTTGACAAAAAAACTTTTGGTAAAAATATCAGCAAGTTGAAGATGAGTATGAACATATTTCACAACAAGATCGCCATGCGGCCCATGCGCCACTCTCTCACGTACAAAATGGTAATCAATCTGAATGTGCTTACTCCGAGCATGCTGAACTGGATTAGCAGTGAGATAGGATGTTGAAATATTATCACAAAAGAGATGCACAAGTGTAGTAATGGGAAAAACAAACTCGAACATGATAGATCTGACATTTAAGGTGTCCTGAAACGTATAAGCTATAACAAGATACTCAACCTCGGTAGAGGATTTGGACACTGCTGGCTGCTTCTTTTTTACTTCCATGACACAAGATTTGGGCCCAAGAAAACAGCAAAACCAGTAGTGGAACGAGATCTATCCGGATAGTCCGCCCAATCAACATCAGAATAAGCCATAATGTAAGTGGAACGCTCAGAGCCCTGGCTTGGACCCATAAACCATGATCAAGAGTACCCTACAGATATCTAAAAATACGTTTGACAGCAAGCATGTGAGTGGTACGAGGAGCATGCATAAATTAGGACACTAAGTGAACTGCATAAGTAATATCAGGTCGTGTCAAAGTTAAATATTTTAATGTACCTACCATACTATGGTACTCAGTGGGATCTGCAAGGAGCTCACCATCAGTGAGGGAGAGAGTGGTGCGTGTAGCAAGAGGGGTACGAACAAACTTGAGAGTATGCAAGTGAAATCGGGTGAGAAGATCAGACACATATTTATGTTGAGACAGAAATAGACCTTTAGGCGTGCGAATATACTGAACACCAAGAAAGTAATGTAAGTCACCTAAATCTTTCATAGACCTTTCGGCGTGCGAATATACTGAACACCAAGGAAGTAATGTAAGTCACCTAAATCTTTCATAGCAAACTAACAAGCAATAAGAATAATGAAAGAATTAACCAAAGAGGGAGAATTGCCAATAATAATAATATCATTCACATATAATAATAAATAAATGATAGAATTATTATAGCGATAAATAAATAGAGAATTATCAGACTTGTTACACACAAAATTATGAGTAAGGGGAGAACTACCGAATGATTAGGAAACCATGCTCGTGGGCCTGCTTGAGGAAACAACATAAATGATTAGGAACTGTGGATGAATAAAACTCCGCGGATGACACGTGTAAACCTTTTCTGTCAAATGGCCATGTAAGAATGCATTTTTAACATCTAACTGACGCATAACCCACCCAAGGAAATAGCAATAGTAAGCACAAGACGAACAATGGTGGGTTTAACATCAGGACTAAAAGTCTCACAAAAATCAACACCAGCATGCTTATTAAAACCTTGAGCTACTAATCGTGTTTTATGCTCAATGGAACCATCAGGAAAGTATTTAGTTTTGTAAATCCACTTCGAACCAATGACATTTTTAGTGTGATCAAACGGAACTAACTCTCAAGTATTATTAGTAATAAGAGCATTAAATTCATCTGCAATAGCCTCATGCCATTTTAAATGTTTATTTGCCTCAGTAAAACAAGTGGTGTCAGCAGAAGTAATAGTTGTGTTTAAGCTAAATATTGATTTGGGTTTAAAATCATGGACTTAGACCGAGTTTGCATGGGATGCACATTGAGGGGCGGACCACTAGACGAGGACGAAGTAGGAGGCTCGGACTGAGAGGAAGACTAGCCGGCTGTGGCAGGCTGTGGCAGGCTGAGAGGAAGACTGATCGGCTGTGGCAGAAGGTTGTCGGGTTGACGAAGGGCTGGGAGGGAGGTTATCGGGTTGACGAAGGGCTGGGAGGGAGGTTGTCGGCTAAGACAGTGGAAAAGGATGGACCTACGGTTGAGGATTGGGGAGTTATTGGGAAGTGGGGTGCGGTGTTGAGCAGATGGCAGGGAGGGGAGATAGGAGCAGGTTGGGTCGGTACTGCAAGTGTTGCAGCCGACGTGGAGGTAGGTGGAGATGCATGGATGGTGGGGAATTGTGATACGGATGGAGTGGGAGGAATAATTAAAGGGGGGAGTAAGCTGCAGCTGCGGGACGAAGACTCCAAAGTGGATGAGGAACCTAAGGTAGCAAATGAAAATCTAGACTCGTGGAAACGAACATGATGACTCATGTACACCCTACCAGTTTTAGGCTCAAGACACCGATAACCTTTATATCCAGATGCATAGCCAATAAAAACACAAAGAACAGGCCGTGGAGAAAGCTTATTAGATGAGGTAGCAGAGATATTTGAAAAACAAACACACCCAAAAACACGAAGTAAAGAATAATCATGAAGTTTTTGAAAAAGTTTCTCATATGGGGATGAGCCAAGAAGAATAGGAGAGAGTAATCTATTAATAATATATGCAGCAGTAAATATAGCACCGACCCAAAAATTATTAGGAATAGAAGCTTCAAGCAACATGGTCCTATTTAATTCAAGTAAATGGTGGTATTTACGTTCAGCCACACCATTTTGTTGTGGAGTCTCAAGACATGATTTTTGAAAATAAAATTCCACGTTCATTAAAAAATGCTGCATAGTAAAATAAATTCACCCTCTGCATCACTTTGAAACACTTCAATTTTACAGTTAAAGAGATTTTCAACTAAGGCCTTAAAAAATTTAAAATGATGGAAAACTTCACTCTTTTTACGCATTAGATAAAGCCATGTGAACCGTGAAGAATCATCAATAAAAAGACGTAATATTTAGAGCCAAGATTAGACACAACAGGTGACTGCCAAACATCCGAATGAATTAATTGTAATGACATAGAAGAAGTATGACTAGTATCCAAAAGGTAATCGTTGTATTTCTTGCCTAACCGGCAAGAAATACAATCATGAACAAAACTAGAAGTACTATTAATATAGCTATGACTACGAAGGCGTAAAGCATGTTCGCCACAATGTCCAAATCTACGATGCCAAATCGGTGCCATACGAAAATAATAGCAATTGATTAAGGATATTTTATATTGTTTTCAATTTTTATATCTGATCTACAAAAATAAAATTTATTTTTTACTTTAGTGTATGTATTAAATATCAATATAAATCTTTATATATTTTTCACGAGAGTTTCAGATCTTTGAAAGCTTTATTAAACTGTGTACAAGTGATAATTACTTACGGATGTAACTTTAATATAGTACTATTTGGTGTTATACTTATTCTAAATCAATCTAATGAAAACTAAATCGACCGCTACCAATCGTGTTATGCAGCCGACCTGTTGCCGCTGTCATCACCTTCATTAAAATTATAATGACACAAAATTATATATTATTAACTCGATCTTTTTTAAAAGAAGTTTGAAGGACTAATATGCTCAACTGTAAATCAAGGGTTAATTTCTTAAAAAATATGACCACACCCATTATTAAACACATAAATTACAAAAATGCGTAGTTAAAAGTTCTGAAAAGATAGTAAGTTACAAATGAAATTTAATGCATAAAAATAGGCATTGACCAATTTTTTTTGTTTAGATAAAGATGGTTGAAAAGACGAAATTCATTTGGATGCAAATAAGAGTTATAAAAAAAGTGGCTCTTTTAATTGGAAACTATAGGTTGAGAACATGTTTAGATAATTAGTTAAAAAAAATAAGAGATGTTCAATAAGTAAGAAGATGCATTTATCAACCATTGTTATAATCGACTAAGTAAGTGACTTTCCGTTAGTTATAATAACTCATACTTATGTGAGTGCACACAGACACATATGTAGTAAAATTAAAACATCACCATTTTATCCCGTGCCCAACACGAGTAGAGATAATAGTTAGATAACCATCACAGAAGCTACTATACCATTACAAAGCACTTTTACTATGAATGATGTAAAGAATGGCTACAAATCCCACTACTATGGTCATATCAAATCCATATAAATTTCTAAACAGTCTGCTCTCCTTCACTTTATTTTCAACTATATACTTCTAACACAATCAACATTTTGATTTACATCACTTAACTGGTCAACATCTACTCGAAGCATTATCTTTAATTCATCTCTGTTTCCATTGCTATCTTCAACAATTGTCCGCACTTCATCTTTTGTTTCTATACCATCCTTCCGTATAAAGAAATAGCAACCACCAACCTATACACAACAAAATAACACAACAAAATACACAAATTTAATGCATAGATCGATCTATCAGATGCGATGTAATACACACTAAAAATATAAAATAAACAACAAAATCATCCAATTATCTTTAAGTTTTTTACAGCCATAAAAATTTCTTTCACTCTCTCATCCAACTCATAGAGGGATTTCGATCCACACCAACAGTACATCGGAGGTCCGTAACGTATAGTACAATTGGGATAAATATGTATTAACCAACCTAAGTGCGCATCCAGGTCAGCGAACAATTGGGGTAATCAACTGATTACTGACTAATACACTAGATTGAGTGTTTTTAAACTTAATCGACTTGTATGAGTGACTTAAAAGTACAAGGGGCTTAATGGATGGTTTGAAAATAATAACAAGGCATGTTTGATAGTTTTTCCTTGAGAAAACTATCAAATAGGCCCTCGTACTTTGGCCAATTCCTCAATTAAGCCATCGTACTTCCGAATTACTCAATCAAGTCCGCTTACTCACCAAAACCAACCAATCAGGCTTTTTAGCCGGTGGACACCCAGTTAGCCCGTTATTGGATGACATGGAATCCAACGTGTCCCTCCCTTGCCCGCCACTTAACCTGACGTGGCTATTCCCATTTGGAAGCCTAATCCTCTCCTCAGCATGTAACAAAAATCGTTCTCCTCCCTTCAGACCTAGGTATTCGCCCTCATCAACCTCGCCTTCAGACAAATCTTTCTCCTTCTCCCTTCTCCCTCTTTGTGACTGTGCCATTCTACGAGCGTTCGCAAGTATGTTGTCTTCATCATCATCAATGAAAAGAACGAAGTCGTACCTTTGACTACGAGCCTGATGTTCATTGTTGGTGTGGATTGCAAGCTCCGCTATGCATTGGCCGAGAGAGTGGGAGAAGCTTTTTTGGGTGTCAAAAATGGAATGTAAGTGTATGATTTGGCTGTGTGGTTTTGGATGACAGTGTCTTGCCTTGTTCATTTATTGCATACGTTATATATGTTCATGATTTGGAAAAATTCCATTAACACGTTGGGAGTTGCGGTTTTTCCTTATGGGAGGAAGACGTAGGAATAAAAGACATTGTCAGGGCTGAAGAGAAGACAGAATTTGTGGGGGCTGAAGCGAAGAGCGAAAGTGTAGATGATTTGAAAAAAATTGCTTGAAGGACTTGTCCTACAGATTTCTCATGTACACAGTGATGTTGCTTGTGTCAAAACTGTGGTTGACAATGAGGCGAAGGTGAACAAAAAGAGTAGGAAGTTGTATGGGTTTGCTATGATTATACTTCTTGGTTTAGTAGGTAGTGTGTATTTGAGGATGTAAGCTTGGTTATCAATGTCAGAATTGTGTAAGTGATGGTCATGTGTACTGCTTTTCAGTTTCTTAGTTATGTAATGGATTTGTATGGCAATAGTTGTATGGCACAATGTTGATTGAATTAGTCATTAAGAACTTGGTTGTTATGGCACAATGCAATAGCACAATGTAATGGTTTTCCAATGGCACAATTTTGTTGAATGAAAGTCACTTATCAAGAATTTCTTCACACATGATAGTTTGGATAGTATATGATAGTGCCTGAAGTCAGTATACTTTAC